TTTGCCCCCTTTCGTTATACCTACGCTACCCTTCGTCAACTCGTATCATAATTGTATCAATATTACAATTATAAGGTACAATAATATGAACTCTGCAGCACATACATCCCTTTCTCTCGTTTCTTTTTTCTTTTCAAGTGTCTCAGTGTCTGCACGTTTCTAACGCTCAGGATTTACTTCTCATATTCGTTGGACACCGTTCAAGTGCTCACGGGTCAACACACTAATATTGACACATCGTAAAAAGATTTAAAATTTTACATTAAAAAAGACTACATCAAATAAAAATTGGCATATAACATGATTTGAATTTTGAACGCTACCTTTTAAGTACCATTTACCTAGCTTATCTTACTCTTTTTTAGGTAGTGTCTAATATTAACCAGTTGAGTACGACATTAGAAGGAACCACAACAGGGGAAGTGTGAATCTCGTACACGGAAAATGGCGGGAATAATGCTCGAAGCTGGACCCTAGCTCATGCTAATGGACCCAAGACCACATAATTTCATGCTGATTCTGAACCTTGTCAACCAAAGATATGGGCCGAAAGAAAATTCAAATCTTTAGGCCTGTTTAGACACACATGATGAGATACAATTAAATATTTTGAGTTAGATAACAACATATTGAGATAATGATAAAAATATGTATTACGATTAGAAATTATTTATGAAATTTTATTTTAATTTAAATCATGTTAAGATAATAAATTAAATTCACTGTGTTATCCTATTATATTTGTGGTTTAACTAAGCTTTTTATACCGGAAAGAATGATAGAATAAATTCATAGAATGTATTTATCATATGTTGTTGGTTAAATAAATTTTATCAAGCTGTCTTGTCCTATTAATCAAATAGGCCTATATTATAATTATTTTAAAATATTTAGTAACATTAAACAAATAAAATATTTATTATTTTTTAAGAATATCTCTGTTTATTGATATATAACTTCAAATATATAAATAAATTTATAATTATATTTTAACTCTTTTAATAAAGATATTTTAATTAAAAAGTTTTTAATTAAGTCTATTTTAATACAATTCAATTTCTTTATAATAATATGCTCAATTTACAACGTGTCTCTTGCAATTTATATTTTTTTTATATCTTAATTATGTTAATAAATTGAACTATATTTCTATTTGCCTTGTTATAAATTTGTCTTTTCATATTTATGTTTAATTGTAATCTTAGGATAAAAGACTATAGTTAATTATTGTAGATATTTTCTTGTTATATGATATTTGCAACAACTGTTATTTATGAATTGATGAGAAATGTATACTTTCTTTACATATCTTACTTATAGATTCATCATACATTTTGAGCAAGACCTTATATTTGAGTTGGAGTAAGTCTATGATTAAAAAAGTTATTTAGTGATGTCATTTTGGATACATAATTTATTTGACTATTGTGAAAACTTAGATAAATTTTGATTTTTCTTATTACTCCATATCTAGTAGATTTTACAATGTTGTGGTAAACATTATAGATATATATTAAATCTAGTGGCTTTTTATAAATACAAGCTACCTATTGTAAGTCTTTACACATAAAAAGAAGCTTTAAATCACTTGATGTCAACTCCAACCCAAACTTAATATTAGAGTAAAGAGTGCGACACTTAACAACAACTATATTTTATCCCATTGGTTGAGGTTGGCTACATGGATTACATGATACAACTGAATTCAGTAATAAATCTAATTTTTAAAAATCTGGTTAATCAAAAGGTATATTTTAATAATTTTGTCTAAAGTTTTTTTGAGTCTCTCATGACTCTTACTTTTTTGTACTTGACTAAGAGTCATGCAATCCACTCTCCTTAATGGTGTCTTTCAAAGGTCTTCTTTGCCCATGATCGAACTATCATAAACAATTTTCAGTCATCTTTTCTTTTATAAGTGTTACTCTAATATTCTCCCCTATGCTATCATTTTGTATATGTCTTTTTTATGTGATTACTCATTCACTTTAACATTCTCATTTATGCTATGCTTTTTCTTCTTGTGTTATTCTTTTAAGGTCAACATTCACTACCATATAAGATAATTAGTCTTTTCTTTCAATTTGATAAGTACTTTACAGTCACAAATATTTTCTTATGTCTTTTTGCACTTTAACTACCTAACTTGTATTTTATGAGACTGTATAATCAATCTCAAGTACATGAATTTGGAAACTTGTGACATAATATCATCTCCAATTTGAACTTCCAATGTATAATCCTCATCTTGTTTTTTTTTTCCCACTAAACTTACAATGCATATAGTCTTTCTTTCTTCTACTTAAGCAAAAATTCTTATATTCTAAAGTCTCCCTCTATAATTCAAATTTAACAGTAATCTCTTCTTTCAAGCCCCCAATTAACATTATATCATTTATATTCATTGTTCTTTTGACTTTTATTATTTTAATACCATTAAAAAAAATATTGACTAGCCTTAGTAATAGTAACTTAGTAATTAATAAACTTTTTTTTAACAGTGTTAACATAGTTAAGATCAAAGCATAATAAAATACTTATATAAAACTAAAATATGATTTTTTTGTTATAAAGATAATTAATAAATAACTATCAATTATAGAGATTAAATTTTATGTTACATAAATATTTAAACAATTTACAATAACATTTTTCATAATTGGATAATGTTAAAAAAATTAAAATTGTGCAATAAGTAAGTCTGAAATATGCCTAGTAAAGTTTAGGATTTGGACTTCACATTTGAGGTCAAATTAAATTTGAACCTTTTTAACAAAATCTAATTAAGCCTAACGCGGGTTAATATAAAAAAATAAAATAAAATGAACTTTACTTATTTTAGATTTTTTTTTATGAGTTCAAATTAGATATAAGTTTCTTTTAGTCCAATTTGTTAAAGTCTACCTGCTTTGGCCTATCCAAATGAACTAGTTAGCTTATTTTGTTAGTTCTATAATAAGAGAGTCATAATTATCTTGAGAGGAGCATAAACTATTATTTATATTTTTTTTCTTGTTGGTATATTTCCTTATATATATATATATATATATATATATATATATATATATATTATTTCTCATTTTTTATACAAATATAAGATGAAGAGGATGCAATAATATTCTATATTTTCTGAAATAGTTTTTATTTTAAAATTAAGTTGCATAAGTCACTTTATTTTTTATTTCTACGAGAAATATCGTTCTCTTATTCACGTCTATTGAATGCACTATTTTCAATTTAATTGTCGATGCCCATTTACAATGCATGCGAAAGAGTTGAGCCTAAAATGTTTATATTACATACGTAAGTCTTATAATTATGACGTCATCCGTGGAGATGGCCGAGTTGGTCTAAGGCGCCAGATTAAGGTTCTGGTCCGAAAGGGCGTGGGTTCAAATCCCACTCTCCACAATTTAATTTTATATTTATAACATTCAATAATAATAATTTAGAAAATTAAAAACTTTGACTCAACATTTGAATAAAAATATATTGATATAAATTAAACAGATAAAAAAGAAAGTAATTGTATAAAAAAATTATAATCAAATTTAAATATCAAGAGGACAAAAAATACATTAATCAATCTTATAAAATAAAATAAAAACATTTTTTGTTTAGTCTTTACATAAATAAATTTTTTTATTAGTCCACTTAAAAAAATTAAATTAAAATGTTTATGTTAAGCTACATATATAGTTTGAGCCTAATATTATACAAAGAAATTTTTTTTAGTTGCAAATCCTATAGTAGTTATTATGGTATTTTAACTTTTGAGATGATAGTAATACTCTTCTTGTATGAACCAATAATATAGAATTATGCTTGTTATCACTAAACATATTATTTATGATTTTAAATATAGTAAAGAGGTCCTTTAGTACATTTTACTCTACAAAGTTATATCTTATATTACAAAGTTTGTTGAGCTTTTTAAGGGAAAAATCCAAATACAAGATTAAAAGGGGCATACATTTTTCATATCCCATAATTGATGGCCTATATTCTATCATTAGTGCTAATTAGTTTTGAGGAGGGACTTTCAAATGATTAGACTAAAAATATTATTAGTGACTGTTCTAGGGTGACTGTTGATTTAAAGCATAAAAATTATTACTGTTAGTGTCACTATCACTTTCTCCTTCCCTAGTATTTTTACCGTCTTCATCTTCTTTTATATCGTTGAATTCACAAGGTATTTCTATTGTTTCCATCTTTTTTTTGTATCGTTGAACCACTTATAGTATAATAACAATCGCATTTAACATGTCCTTTCACTCACATTTTTAGTCACATACACTATTTATGTTGATATACTTTATATACAGTACACTTGCTCACATTCATTCACATTACACTGCTCATATTTATTCGCGTTAACACAACAATTCCATACACACCACATTTTCAACATAATTCATATTCATCAATTTGTTCCATCATACACACTATTTAACATTCATTACTCTATACTTTATTCAATCTTTCTACCATAATCCCACTACAATTAACCAATTCCATTATAACATACATCTTCCTACATTTGAATTACTCATATCATAATACAAAATAAATTAACGAAGTTTTGTTCTTCAATCTTTTTTAACTATTGCATCTAATTCTTCACAATAAGCATCAATCTTTTCAAAATCACTTTTCCTCTGCCCCACTTTAAATATTTTACCTTAGTTTAACTCAAATTTTAGTTTGGTACATTTAACAAAATAACATTGTTTTGATGCTATATTATACAATAAACATTTTTCAATTATACGTGAATTTAAAGACCTAAGTCTGGTATTATAGATTAGTGGAACAATTAAAAAGGTAAAAAATTAATAATATCAACCATAACGGACTAATTTATTATTTTACTCTTAATAATTTGATCTAAAATTCTTTTTAATCAAAATAAATCCATTGAATCGAAATATTTTTTTTTAATAATTTGAAATTTTAATTACTGAATAAATTACCAGCATTGTATTGAAGGCATTGTTAATTGAGAAGGATGATGGGAGAGCAATCCGAAAGCGAGAGTAGGAGAACGGAAAGAAGGAAGCAGAAGAGTGAGTTCGAGTTCTGCAAGGCATGCAACATAAACCACAACCAAGGCCTCCGCCACAAGTACTTCCCTAACCACAAGAAATCCCTCTCCACCTTCCTCTCTCGCTTCCGAAACAAGCTCTCCGATGTTCGCTTCTTCCTCAACGCCCCTATCCCTCTCACTCCCCAACTCGCTTCTCGCAATCGCTTCTGGTGTGTTTTCTGTGACCAAGACATCAACGAGCTCTCTAGTTCCTTCGCCTGGTATCATTCCCCCCAAATTGAATATTTGTTTATTATTCTAGGTTTCCTTTATCTAAATCTCGTGTTGGTTCACGTGGCAGCGCTAACGCGATTCGTCACCTAGCCAGCGCTGATCATGTCAAGAATTTGAAGCACTTCTTCTGGAAATATGGCGGTGCTGTGGATCAGTTGGATGCGTTTATGGTTTCTGATGATGATGTAGCTAAGGTGCTTTATAAATTATATTTTGTATGCTTTGTGAAATTAAAGAAAAAAGGGAAAAGAAAAGGAAATCTCGTGATTTAGAATGTAATTGTTCATCGGTTGTTGTTTCTTCGCGAGTGCAGTGGGAGAAGCGATGCTTGGCTCGAAATGATGAAGCTGTGTTGCCTAGTGCAGGGCGTCGCCGAACGGTGTTTGGTCCTTCAAGTGATATCCATAATCAACTCGACAATGGAAATATTGATAGTTTTCAAAATGTTTATTCCCATTCTGTGAAATCAAATGCTGTTTTGCCTTTACAATGCTATACAAATGAGTATCAGGTATCGTGTTCAGGACTCTCAGGAGTTGGCAATACTGGCCTGTTAGAAATTGATACTACTTCTTTAGCTTCGGAAGAGTGCTATGGTGCTAATCCTCTTGCTTTGCAGGATTTTGCAGGTATGCTTATTGCATCTTTCAAAAATGTCTTTTCTTATTCTGTACAAGTATAGTGCACATGTGGGATTTGTCAATTTGATAATTTTCAGTCTTATTTTCAATGCTTTTGTTGTGTCTCAGTTGAAAGGAGAAGCCACTCTCTCCTACATGAAGGTAGACAATGTTCAACTGATGGTTATTCCTCTAATAAGCAGGTAAGTTTTGTGCTAACACACAGGTCTGTGTGTGTGTTTGGTCGCAGGCCTTAACTGTTTTTATTTAGTCATTAGAATCTAACTATTTTGAGTTTCAGACTTTCAGCAGTCATTGGTTGGTAACTCACTGATTAGCAAGACAATACATCCAGAATTTTTCCTAAATTTTATGTCACCTAAATTTCATGTCTCGGTGATCAAGGATTAGTTGGCTGCCTGCACTTTGTTCTTATACATTTTACAATATCTAATTTATTTTTTAACATTTTTCTGATTGTTATTCTCTTCCTGCATTGTAGTTGTCTAATCTAATGTGTAGTTCGGTACTGATAGAAAGTTTTGCATGTTGTATGAATGTCCCAGGTGCGTGACAATGGTAGAATAGTTAGCAGAGAGAGCAGTCATCAGGGTATTCATTTGTAATTATGAAAGTTTTGTTTTGCTTCTGTTCTTGTAATACTGTAAAGCTGCAAAGGATATGCCAATTCAATATGTTCACTTGGTCGCTTTGTTGCATTTCTACAGGCATGCAAAATATTTAAAATTAATGTGAATGCAAAAACGATTTTAAAATTTTACTATGCCTTTATAACTCATTCATGGATACATTAGCATATGGACGTTGAGTGTGGTGCTATACAAGTATGTTGATGCATTTTCTACTTATTATCCTTTTGCATTTTCAGGTCTACAGATGCTCACCCAGATCACTTCCGTGCCTACTGAAAGTGCTGGTGGAAATGTTCATTCTGGAGCACCTCCACCATGGTTGGAAGCAATTGAAGGAATTGAGATACATTGTAAGCCTGTTTTGGGAAGCCTTGTCTCCCATTCAAACAATTCAGGAAAATCCAAAAAGTTGAATCCAAAACGGGTGGGAGCAGCTTGGGCTGAAAAGAGAAAGATTGAAATGGAGATGGAAAAGAGGGGAGAGATTGTAAGGAATGAGTGTGATGCCAACTGGCTTCCTAATTTTGGCAGAGTCTGGCAATCTGGTAGCAGAAGAGAATCCAGAAAAGAATTTGAGAGGGAGAAAAAGAAGTTGAATGCTGAAACTCAGTCTGAGATGCCAATCAAGATACAGCCTTATGTCAGCAAGAGAATGGTGAGTTTTATTCTAAAACGTTTATTATAACTGGTCTAAAACTGTCAGCCAAAATCGGCTCTATCTGGACCCAGACTTATATTGCCAAACCCAACTGGCTTGTTTGATAATTGGGTTGCAAAAATAGGCTATGCCATGCCCAGTGTACCAATCTAGCTAAAATAGTGGGATGTACACATAAATGGACGGCAAATTTTCTTTTCTTTTGGGGACTCAAATGGTTTGTACATTTTTGTTGGGATTGACTTGTAAATGGATAGCACAGTTTTTGTAAATGAGGTTTCTGGCTAACGCATTGGCCACCCTACCAAGCTAACAAAAGCAAACTACATTTTTGTTTAAGAAATAAAAATTGGCAGTAAGGCAGGTAACAGTTTAAGTGGGCCTGGCATATAGCTTGTTTAACCCTCCAATTAACTATAAATTTAATTTTTCCCCTGCAAATTTTAAACTTAAATTAGTTTGTATTTATTTATTGAATAAAGATTTCTATGGATTTTTTAAAATCCATCCTTAAAAAATGTCTAAATATACTGGATGTTCAGATATTTACAAACTACTCTCAGTTTGTTGCTCATCTTTAGTGTGGCTTTTTGACCATAGAAAATAGTGTCCTAGCCCTGCCGAGGGTGAAATTCAAAGCAAATTGGCAAACTGAATGTATGATGTCATAGCACTAAGTTGAGTTGTTAATTTAGGCTTTTCCTTCTGCGATATACTTTAGAGCTATTGTCATATTGATATATCAGTCATCCATTTGTAAATGTTTAGATCTTTTCCTGTTGTTTGCTCTTTGCAGCGGATGGATAGCGGTGATGATTATTCAAATGGGTGAAATTTCTGGTGGCAAACATGTTCGGGGAGTCATCAGTATTGTAGATAAGCATGCTTTCGCTTTGGAGATGGAATGGAATTAACAAAATGTAACATGGTGCATGTGATAGCAATTTTTGTGCAAATATGGGTGCTTATTTTTGCCAACCGGCTTGCTTTTGCACATTGGGATGGTTACTATATTTTGGTGGGCTTCGCCTTCCAACATGTTGCTCTTTTCCACTGGAATGTGAAGAACTTATGCATTGTATTGTACAGAATACTGAGATTATTCTCGCTAGTTAGATAAGAGATCTTTTTATAATGTGTTTTTCTTTTATGTAACTTGTCAGCACGAGTGCAATTTTTGTGTACATTTGAATCTACTCAAGAAAGGCTCTCATAATCCACTTTAATGCTGTAAAGTCGTTTTTGCAGAGTTTGTTTGAATTATCAACAGACGGTTTAAAAATATAATTTGTTTGAGAATATCAATCTTTATCTGGCAGTTACTATCATATAAGCCACTTTGATGTAGTGTAGTTTGTGCAGAATTAACAGCGTTTGAACTATAGTTGTACGATGACACTTGTTTAGGTGAAAATTGCTAATCGACTAACATTTGCTGAGCTCTCTTACATATAATATCTGTAACCATAATGATGCTGCTCTATTCAGTCAGGGCAGAATATCGTAGAATTGGAGTGGCCTCTGATCCTGAAGTGCCATAATTTCCCTTTAGAATTCATCAAGTTCTCATGGCAGAGGAACTCCCAGGAATACCACTTCTCTATCGTACGATCTACATCATGTACCAGTACATCAGAAACATCTCCTGCTCTAGCTAGAACACTAGCAGTGTATATAGGAGCCATCTTGCCCGGTGACTCTGGTGAATCCCCGCTGGGCCCGTCTACCACAATTACATCCCAATTCTTTTCATACACTTCTTCCGGTAAACTTTTCAATGCCAGCTTGCATTTTGATCTTTGAAGCAATCTGTGGTTTGGTGCACAAGCTTGGCTCTGCCTTGCATGCCGGAGCTGATTGTAAGCTTCTTTTGCTGGCACATTATACCCGAGTTTGTATGTCCGAGTGCTGTTGGAGTTTATTGATGCTTTGCTAATCATATCATGGTCATCCTCAAGAAAGATAGTGGTTCCAGCTGCATTCATTGAAGAGAGGACAAGGTACTGGGGTTGAAACCCAAATATGAGGAGATTGCAAGGGGATTTAAGAGCAATGAGATTTGACAGAACTTTGAATTCTTTTCTTGTTAGGGTGGAATTTGGAGGCCTTCTAGGCTGCTTTGAGGACTCAGGTGCATGTTGGGCAACTTTGTTGTGTGTAGTCGATGGTGGAGAGCTGTGTTGGGGAGCTGGAGACAGAACAAATAGCCTAGGGGAAGAAGATGAAATACGGACAGTGATTCTCAGAAGCCTGAGTATTGATATGATTGATAGGATCAAAACAAGGATAGAAATTAGTTTCTTTTTGTTGAGATTCATTCCTTTGGGTCCTTGGCAATATTTGTGGCTAGAACGTTGTTTTTTCATGTGCCCGAAATCTTAATGGAGGAGAAAATTGAACTACAGGTGCTAAGGGAGGACGAAAATGAATTGCATCGGGGGGCATCTTTGTTTCCTTAATTTATCCCCCCACTATTATTATTCAACTGCCTTACTCCATCCTCTGTGCAAAACTGCTGTTACATTACATCCTTCTAATAGATGCTGTGGGCATATGATGATAACGTGCATCTTGTTGAGTAGGGAAGAAGGGATAATTTTACTTTTGTTACAGGTGTTACCTTTCTTTTCGTCGAGCCACAGCTTGTTACCTAATTGTTGTGGTTGCCTGGTTGAGCTGGAGAAATTAAATTGCATGTCTCTCTTTGAAGTTGTTCCTTTATTTAATGCTTTCCGGGGTGCTGACATGGGTCTAAAAGATTGGTTGATTGTCAAAATTTAATTGGGTCCCTGTGTGGTGATTGAGTAAGCTTGAAGAAGGTTTGTGGGCGGTTATTGTGTCTTTTTCAAATTTCAATCCATGTAACTCTCATTTCATATAGGTGTGCTTTTTGATTGATGATGAGCAATGATTGATGATTCGTTTTACTATTTCCCTTTCTAATATCAGATGTTTCATTTGCTAGCTGAATGCTAAACTGGCCACCCAGTTTGCAATGGAAAGTGACCTGGATACTGTAGATGCATTTTGCTTGTATAATGATAGACGTGTTATATATAATAAACGGAGTTAAAGTTTCGTTTGAATAATAATAATAATAATAATAATAATAATACCCTTGATGGGATTTTGTTTCCGCATTAAGCGGAGGAAAATAAAAAAAAACAGTATTGATGATTTTATTAAGAATTAACCAATGATTGATTCCAATGATAATTTTTCAGGTTATGAACAGAATGGTATGTATTTTAAACAATAGAAACATGAAACACCTCTGAACACCAGATAACTTAAGTCTAAGTCATTGGCAATCCACGATGTAAGAAATAATGCCATCTTCAATTAAAGATAGTACTCATGGAGTGATCAGCAGCTTTCAGAAATCTGAAAAGGGAGGATGTAGGTATTTATACAGTAGATTCTTCCATCCTCTCTTAAATTTAAAAAAGTAAGGTAAAAATATCTATTAGAAAAACTTGCAAACATTGTAAACCGTTGCTAGGAATTATATGATTAAAAATACAAGATAAAAAACTAAATTTATTAAAGGACATATTGATAATTTGATGTATATTTTCTTCTTCTTTTTCCTCTTCTTTCTTGTTCTCATTTACACGACATAAATTTATTCATTCTTTATCCTTCACTAGTGACTACACAAGCACTATTACTTTCTATTTCATTCCATGACTATAAATTTTGATTCACACCCTTTTCACACACACAAAAACACTAAAAAAATAAAATAGAAAACGTTGGAATTTTGAAGAAAAAAAAAAAGTTTGTCCAAACCACCTACAACTTCTTAAAAAATTGATTAGTCCCTCATCATACTTGACTCACTTGAGACTTAATCTAAATATTTACCTGTTATTATCCAAATATTTATCTAAAAATTATTAAATCATATTCATTCATTTAACATGAAATTAGATCAACAATTGATAATCAATTACATTTGCTGTAACATCCTCATTTCTATTACTACATATTTATTTTATTTTGATTTTTTTAATAGAAAATTTTGAAATTATGAAAACTTCAAGATGTCTCACTCAAGTAAGACTAGTCATTTTGGACCACTCACTACAGGGTATTCTTACTCATGCGAGATTGGATATTATTGTCCCATTTATCCTATCACCTAGACAAGAAGGTATTTCGCTCAAGCAAAATTATAAAAAAATTAGGTAACCTTCTGTCTGGTGTTCTTGCCTAGGTAAGAGGGGTCTCGCCCAGGTGAGAATACATCTCGCTCAAGCACGAATGCACGAGTTTAAAGAGGTATTTGAGGAACTTTCATTTTAAAAATTTGTATTAGAAGTCAAACAACATTTTCTCTCATTTCTCTTTGTTTTCTCATCTTTCCTTCTCAGAGAAACTTTTCTTAAACCCTGACTCTTTCTTGAATTTAGACTTGAATGTTCGTTCCAATCGACTCCAAGTAAGTTTCTTGGAGCTTAGTACTCCTATCTCTTTTCTATTTTCTCCATTCTCTTCTCTTCTCAAAGTGCTTTATTTTAAATATATAGAAAGATCTTGGTCTTTTTACGATATCTTCCATCAAAACGTTGCACCTTGTTTTAGATCTTGAGGAGGACTCAGCCATAGAGACATCGTCTCTCATCTCTTTAGTTTTAAGAAAACTATTTCCAGGTAAGAGAGGTTAATTTTGAACCATAAGCCTTATTTATGTGTTATAGTTTAAAAAACTCAAAATACCCCATTGAAAATAGTAGATCTGTACATTTTCTTGAAATTATAATGTCAAAAATAGATTCTTTAGGTACAAAAACCTATGGTTGAGTTTAAGATTCACCTAAAGTAGAATTTTGTAGAGAAGGCTATGAGTAAACCAATGTTTTAAGAATGTTTTCATGATTTATGTTATTGATTATAATAGATTTGAAATTGAGTGATGATTTATCTGTATTTGAATAATATGTTATAGTGATTGTGTAATTTTGAAAGTTTATGCATGTTGAAAATAATGAATTCATGTTATGACGAGAGAAAATTATAGAATGAGAATTGATATAATGGATGTGAATGAGATTTAAAGTTGTTTATGTTATCAAAGTGGAAAGAAAAATGTTAAGAAAATGCGTGTCATGAAAAAATGGCAAAAATGTGTATAAATAGTTGTAAAGATATATAGAGTTTGAAAACGATTTGAGAAATATGAAAGAAATGAAGGTAGTGAATGTTGTTTGTATTGGGTGCACATGAATTGCTAAAAGCGAAAGCATCACAGGCTTCACACCTATTTTTTTACTAGACTCCTAACTATACCTTTGTTAAAAAGAGTCATATGTGCACATGTTGTATCCGTGTTGTTCCGATTAACTAGCGACTATCTATACTTGTAGAACACCTCAGGGATCCCAAGAGCAATAGTAATAGAACTGTAATATATGTAATCATAATAAGTGAGTTATAATAGATTGATTGGTATGATAATATACATGTATTGTAATATATCGACGGGTGTAATTATAATAAATGTATTGTAATGTATTGATTAATGAGTATGATGCACATATTATGGTATGTTGATCGATGTAAGAATATATGAAATGACATGGTCTTAGTGTATGTTTTAGAATAGTAATGAAATGATTGTTATGATATTTGATCTACTGAAAACTCATTAATATAATATGCAAGCTAGCATTATTTTGTTGTATATTGTATGTTATGATGTTTCTATATTAATTGTTTCATACATAAAATAGAGGATTTAGTGGGACGATGAATACTAATCCTTATAATCATTTTTTAGGAATTGAAATGAAGAATGATTCGTTCTAGAATCATATTCTCATTGGTGTTGCAAGAAAGAATTTGCTCTTTTAGATTTAAGTGATATTAATGTTGAAATAAATTTTGATTAGGTTCTATTTAGAAATTGATTTTGGTATTTAAACCATTTTGTGTCGATCTTTTAAAAAATCTAAAAGATTGATAAAGTTTAATATGATTAATGATTTAGAAGTTTATTTGTAATATTTAGAAGTTAATTCTCTCGACCTACTTTTTACTTTAATGTTCAATTTAAATTGCAAAAATATTTCTATGATATGAGTGGGACTTATATGTAAAGTTTTAAAAGTTTGATAACTTCTATTATTTTAAATTTTAAATCAACGTAAACTTTTTTTAATTCATCTAAAATGTTACCTATTTTAATTAAGTTTTATCAAAATTATTGATAAAAAAGAATAGAAATATTGCATTTGCTTATCAAAAAACATTAATTTGTTAAAACCCTTTCTTATAGAGGACATAGGAATTCACCTGGAAGAAGAAGAGACATAAGAAATGAATAAGCATTACTTAAAATAACACATGACTTTTCGTCTTTCATTCTTTCTTCTTTTTTTTTATAATTTTTATACTCTTTTACTTAAATGCCATTTGGAATTCCCTTATTTTTTATTTTTTAAAAAATATTTTAATTTATGAATTCATTTAAATTTCTTAAAATATTATTGATTTCATCCTTATACTTCTAAACCTTTTAGTTTATTTTTCTTATTATTCTAGGTACTGAATAAATAATTTAATATTTTTTTAAGTAAGTTTTAATAATTTTTATCAAATATGTATGCAATATATACACTAACTTTGAAATTGGGCTAAAAGATTAGTTTATTCTTTAATTTACTAGGGCTGTGGTTATTGATAGTTTTAAATGCCTTAATTTATTGGATGATGACCGGAAAAAATGCTAGTATGCTAAAATGTATATATATTTGTAGTAGTATTTGTTATTTTTGTTAGTAATGTGTTTTTCAAATTATCTTTAATTATTTTTTATTGTTTCACTTTGTAATATTAGTATCATAGTTAACAGTAATTTTTATATTTTAGGAATATTTTAGTTTTTTTTTTCAAATTTATTATTAATCTTTCAGTTACATAATTAGTTTCTGTTTCTATGAATAATTATAAATATACTATTACTATTTTAAAAAGTTGAGTTTTTCCCGTTCATTCTTTCACAATTTTGCACATTTGTGATTCTTTATTTTTTTTTTGTCATAAAAAATCAACAACTGGTATATGTGAAAATAGATGTTGAATCAAATTTCTCATAATTTGTTCCACTTATCTTTGATGGAGAAACTATGAAATTTGGACTATCAAAATGGAGACTTACCAAAAGGTTTTGGATCTTTGAGAAGCTATTAAAGAGAATTACAAGCTTTTTTGCTGTCGCACAATCTTACCATGACCTAAATAAAAAATCACAAGGAGATAAAAATACGAAAGGTAAAGGAAAAATCATATCTTTTGGTTGGTGTTTCAACAAATTTGTTCACCATAATCATGACTTTAAAAATAGTAAAGACAATTTGAAATTATCTTAGGAAATAATATGCTGAAAATGAAAGAATTTAAGACATGCAAGTGCTAATTTATGTTAAAGCTTGTTTTGTACATTATGTATCAATTTTGCTTAGTCATTTAGTATGTAAATATCATGAAGTTTTTTTTAGCTCTTTAACAAACAAAACAAATGAAAGAAAAAGAGAAATCCTAACGACAAACTTTCTCTAGCTCACTCTACTATTAAAATTTATTAAAAATTATAAAAGTATAAGTGAGAAACATTAATTTAAAATTTAAAAATAAAAAAAATGAGTCACATAATTTTTATAGTTTTTAATAAATTTTAGTTAATAATAAAGAATGTGTCGTTGGCATTTTTTGTAAAAAAAATTATAAATAAATCATAACTTTTCAAAATAGAGGACCAAATAAAATAAAATATTATTATTTAAAGAAACAAAAATACATTTAAGATTGTTATTATTATTATTATATTTTAAAATTATATAATTATTGATTTTTTAAAAAATTTGAATTTATTATCTTTTTTAGTCAATATTACATGTATCTTTCATGAAAAATAATTATGTTCGAGTAAATATTGTTAACTATATTTATTGATAAGTCGTATTTTGACATACTTTTCTAGCATGTTCATATGCATTTATTATTGATTTGAACGGATTTTTATACTAATTACTCCATTAATTGTTGTAGATGAACATGTGTGAAGATTCAAAAGACTTATGGACATTTTGGATGCAAGTTCAAGAGAATTAGGCTATTAAGGATAAATTACGCTCAATCCCCAATTATCAGCACACTCATGCTTTGTTAGCATACACGACCGTTCTGTGAATCCAGTATAAGCACGGTCGTGCATTCATCTAGCATGGCCGTATTCACCTACACAAATCACACATTCAACATGATTTAGGGGCTTATAAACATATAAAAGAAGGCATGGGAGCAACGACTCAACATCCAATTTTTACACTTCACTTTTGAGTTTTTAAGTGACTCTCTCATCTCTTTCGCACGGGATCTGTGACACAGATTTGGAGTTTCAAGCGACCAGACTTGAAGAACGAGATTTTTCTTCTAGTTTACTTTTCATCTTTATTTATAGCATTGTTTACACTTGCTTTAGTTTCTTTCTTCAGCATGAGTAGTTAAATTCATAACTAGGGCTATGAGAATTATTGTTCATGAATTTATGAAATTTGAATGATTAAATCTAGGTTTAATTTTCATTTGTGATTAGTATTTACCTTAGTGTGTTTGATTATGTGTTGTGAAATGATCACTCGTAACATAACTTTAATTAATTACATTGTCAAGCGACCGTACCTCAATTAGTTAATGGATCTGTAGGATAAAATGAGATAAAGAATTAGGTGGATCAAATCAATCTTTTTCTTCGAGTCATTATTAGATTAACAAGTTTATAGGTTCTTCATGTTTTCTTTAATTGATATCTTACATGACCATTAGAGATGCTAATTTAAAGAAAAAATATTAATATTGCATGACCATTGAGTATTAATAATAATTGTATAAATGGTTAGTAATCACAAAAAAATCGAATTTAGAGTTAATTAGAAAAAGAATGTAAAGGATTAAATGAGAAAACTCCTTTACTCTAGGTTCCTCTTCTATAATTTCTAACAAGACGTGTATTGTGATACTTGTTTTAAGATCTGATGATAATTATTTTAAATCTTGAATTCTATAGTTTAATTTTGTATTTATTAAGTTCAAACAATTAAATAAGAAAATTCTTAGTAATTAGAAACCAGTCCTTGTGGGGCGACAATTTAAGAACTTAATTTAAGAATCTTTTATTACTTTTTGACAGATACACTTACTCACTGAACATTAATTTAAGTGAAAAATGGACATCTAAGATGTAATGAAAACAAACAAAAGTTTAATCAATTTTTGGCTTTTTTAAATAATAAATAAAATAAAAGTAAAATTATGTAAATGTTCTATTTTTAAAAAATTACATAAATGTATTTTTTAGCCTTGAAAAGAAGACAATTTAAGTTGATTATTTTTCAAAATAAAAAATAATTTGAATTGACTTCAGTATGCCCCATTTTGCTCCTACGAAAGTCAATTATAATAGGTTTTGGCTGTAGTTTCTGTTGTGTGGAAGTTGATTTCAATCAACTTTGGTAGAAGGGTGAGAGTTGGTTTGAATAAACTTTGGAAGATTTTAGGATTTGATTTTATTCGACTTCGGCATGCATATATCCACTGCAATGGCTAACTTGAAAGGAAGAAAAAGGCCCTCTCAGAAGAATTCCTTGAGGGAAAGGAAGAGAAAGAAGTTCAATGTTACTACAATGGAGATGAATAATGATCTAAACCAATTTAATTTTTTTAATTATATATATTGTAAGTAAATTGTTCATACAAATAAATGTTTAAAAATATTATTTAATTTTATTTGATTTTTTTATGTTAATCTTTTTTAAGTGTCTATTAACAGGAATTATAAAAATTAATTTAATTATTGTACATTTAATTATTTATCTGTTATATATTTATTTTTTATGGTAATGTATTATATGATGTATATTATATTTATAACACATAATGTCTGTTACGTACTTAATCAATTGTTGGTTAAAAAATTATTAGTATATTTTATATTAGAATTTTTACTATTTGTTAAAATAAATTAAATAATTATAGTTTTAGGCAAGTAAATATTTAGATTATATCTTGGTGAATTAGAATAAATTATTGTTTTTCTTTTACTTTTTCAATATTCAACTCTTCAACTATAGCAAAATAATTAGTGGACAGATAATCAATCAAACTTAATTGTTATTACAAAATGTCTCTCTCTAATGTGTGTACAATCTTATCATTATAATATTTAAGTACATGAACGTTATTATTTGTCATTTCATTAGAATTTTTACACTTAATCTCATGATTTTTTTAACAAAATCATGCAAAGTCAAAAAGTTGTGTATGTCTATTTATAGCATACGGATAACTTAATTTATATTAAAATATACTTTAATCGACTTATATTTTAAAATAAAATCTATTTAAATTAACTTCAAGAGTATGAAACAGACGAAAGTCAATTTAAATTAATTTTTATATAAAAAAATAAAAAGCTTTATTGTCAACTTTAGTATAAAGAAAAATTAAAGCATAAAGAAAATTAATTTAAATTAACTTCTTTATAAATAAAAATATTAAATGAAAGAAAGTTCACTGTAATCGAATTTTATTTTATTTGAATGTAAAATTTTAAGAAAAATCAATTAAAGTTTACTTCCATTATCATCAATTCAGGACACAATAGTAAACATATTATTAAATAAGGACATGTAAGTAATAAACATTTTAAATTAATTTATTTACGGAAAAAAATCTCAATTCTCACACTAATTTGCGCAATTACCTGTTGAAGCATTCAAGTCATTTCAGCATGGAACTTCAACAATTCCAACTAATGTCATTCCATTAAATTTATGTTAATGTTTGTTTAACTATATTAAATGCTTTATTGTGATCCCCTTGTCCTTGTCCATATCTACTATTCTTTTGAAGGCATCTCTAAACGGTATAATGCCCTCTTTCTCCCAATTAACAAATATTAATAATATATAATTGTATTGGTAGATTTCTTTGTTTAATTAGTTTTGAAAGACTCGTTGGTGTTTTCTACAGAAGGGAAACAAATAAAGGTCAAATCCCCTATAAGATACCATCATTAACTTAATATTTTCGTCTTTGTCATGGGTATGCGCAACCTGTAGCGTGACAGATGCAAGACTACCAAATTTTTCTTCCATTTTCCCATAAATCTTTCTGCCCCTTTATTAAATAGTTTTGGTTTTTCTTTGGTAAAGAATCTAAAATCCCATCTACTACATCACGGTGCTTGTTATTGCCAATTTTTTGTTTTTATTTCTCTTACTTGCATCAAATAACGATTGTCCAATCCTTCTTACCTGTGACACCAAAAATTTCTTCTTCTTTTTTTTTTATATTGAGTTTTCCTATTTCTTACAAATATATATACTATTTTTTAATTCTTAGCAAGCATGCAGCGAGTGTCACATTTTCTCGAGAATATTAGTAGCAATTGCATGAAATTTATCTGTTAATTTGATTCAGTTCTCTGTTGAAGTTAATTTCATGATGCATCTATGTTTTACCTGACCAAATTTCGGTCAGAGTCAATTCTGTGCAGGTTTTAGGGATCTCTTTTGAAGTCTTTAAAAGTAGCTATTAAAACTATTGCCTTTTCAAGAAGCTAATTCAACTAACTTACCCAGTGATTTGAAAAAAATGAGATGTTCACTCTGAAACCATGCTAGGAAAAAAAATATTCAAAATGATGCCATGGTTATTGTTGACATTCCACCAAGGTTCTCTAATGGTCATTTTCCATAAATAATATAAAATTCCCATAGTGACGTTGCATTAGCAATTAACAAATATGGTGATGTTACTGCCATTCGAAAGCTGCACCTCAAAAATCTCCTCCTAACGTGCTTGCTACCTCAATTAATAGAGTTAACAATAAAAGCTAGGTTCAGATTTTAATTAAGGTTCAGTTTGTGAATTTTGAAACCAATAATAATAGGTACAAGCGAATAATTCTGGGGAATATTGTGTAAACCATGGTTAACTTAAGGCAAGAGGAACATGTCACCAATTTCATCATCACCTCCTATTTTAAAGCCTTGCTATTGTCTTTGTTCGTGTAATCATCTGACTTTATTTGATTTCTTAATTACTTTGCCATAATAAGATTCACAGCTTCAACAAGAAATGTCGTCTTAGTAAGTTTGGCTATGCCAATTGCCAAGTCTTCTTTTCTAACATGCTTCCTTTCCTCTTTTTTTCCTTTCAATCTTCATTTTCCAAGTGACTTCTTTTAGTTCAAGATACCCCTTCTTAATTAGCCTGATACATCTCTAACCTAAGTCTTTCTCAACCTTCTGCTAGGGAATATTTCAGCATAACTTTTATACATAGAAACCTCTTTTTTTTTTCTGTGCCTTTTACCTAAGATTTTCTCAGGTATTGGACACTGAAATACAACAATCTTATGTTTCTGTAAGTGAGACAAATATTACTATGGGAACAAACAGACAGGAGCATGAAATTTCAGACGGAGGATCTGAGGTAAAGTTTCACAAATCAAAGCTATATTCAGTTCATATTTGTCCTTACATGTGATTTTTAGTTCAAATGCTAAAGCTTCAAAAATTCTAAAGTCTAGACCCTATGGCAGGTAACATATCAAGAGATGGTGGAAAATGAGGTGAAAGACACTCAGAAAAATCCAACGCACAGATTAATTGCAGAAAGCTGCAAATCAAACAGCATGGTCTTAAAGGTAATTTTAGTATTCCAAGTTTTACTTCTTTGTTTGTAGAGATTGTATATATCACATCCATTGAAGCCGAATAAATGGTTTGAATCGGTACAAAACAGAAACGGCACACGTTGATTCCTCCTCACATCATAGCTGAAGCCATATCAAATATCCGTGACATCGATCTTAGATGGTCAGGTCCAATCACACAGAAAGAAATGGAATATGTTGAACAGTATGTGCTTGCAAAGTATCCAGAATATGCAGGGCTAATTGAAGGAGATGGGAATGGAATTGACTTATCTAGCTTTATCATCAATGAGGAGCCTTCAGAACCTTTGTCAGATGATAGAGGCAAGTCACCTAGAGATTCTTCTGGATACTTGTTTGGTAGTAATCTCCCTGAAATGGATAGAGCCAAGATCCAGTTGGAGCCATCAAGATTACTAGACATTCTCAACAAGAAATCCTCATTCCCAGGAAGTTTCATTTCAATCCCAGAAATCCAAGCTAGAAATAAGGTTTTGAAGCATTATGGGTTACCTGATGATGAGTACCTTGTTCTCTTCACTCCAAGCTACAAGGATGCTATGATGTTGGTGGGAGAAAGTTACCCTTTTGTTAAGGGAAACTACTACATGACAATTCTAGATCAAGAAGAAGACTATATCAGGGAATTTGCTTCTTTTAAGGAGTCCAAGGTGATCTCAGCACCCAAGACTTGGCTAGATTTAAGGATCAGAGGGTCGCAGCTTAGCCAAAACTTTAGGAGGAGGTGTAAGATCAGTTCAAAAGGCTTGTTCTCTTATCCAGCAGATGCAAATGGAACAATGCATTGGATTTCTGAGGCTCATAGGAACAACTGGCATGTTCTACTTGATGCATCTGCTTTGGTAGTGGGAAAGGATAGGCTACCTCTCGCGCTTCACCGGCCAGACTTCGTGATATGTAGCCTTGACAACACTCATTCCAATCCTTCAAGAATCACTTGCCTGTTAGTAAGAAAGAAATCATTTGAGATCTCAGCTGCTTCATCCCAGGTAGTTGAATGAGTGACACGGGGTACTTGCCCATTATTTTAGACGACATTTAAACTGCAGAGCAATTAGTAAATTTGGTATCATGGACTCTGAGAAGCCATGAGTTTTTCCTGGCCCTACTTTGTAGATTGAATAAATTAACACATACATATAAAAGACTACTGAATACTGTTTTGGATGCATCTGCAATGGATTCCAAATCATGTGGGCTATTTGTATTTGTAAGTTATAATTAATTATCTTAGTTTGGTAAATTATTTTTGCCAAATCCATTTTTTTCATGACAATTAATTGGTTTTGGAGAATTTTGTCTTACTATAACTTCCAACATCAATTCGGAGAGTAACAAATGCATGTTCCCCTTGTTGCCTTAGCCAAAATCAATGACAGCATCTTCAATTACTGCCACAAAATCTCTTATCCCGTTTTGACATGCTTGCTAGATAGTCATTAAACCTTAGATTCCAAGAACTAGAAGTTGTCCAAGTAGCAAATCCTGGCCATTTTATACTTTATCTAGCAACATACAAAAGCAAATATCCAAGTGGTCATGGGCGTGCAAATTTTAGTTAATTGAGTGCTGTCACGAAATTCTGTGCTTGCATTTGGTAATATCTATATTTAGGGACATGTAGACCAAGACAATTCATTGGTATGTTTATGCAAACAGCTTAATTAATATCTTATTCAATTCATTCGTATTACAAAAGAACTTATGACATAAATGGAGCTTATTTTGATAAACAACATTAAAAAACTTATTGAAATAAGCTAAAAAGAGCTTATGAAAATTACAAATTATTTTCATATACTCTCCATAAAATTTTCGAAACGCTCCCTAAATAATTGAGTGGAAGCATGTCGAATGTCGAATCATGTTAGCAAGTTGTCTGTAGTGCAACGTCAAAAGGTTTGTTTTGTCCTTCCCCCGTTACTGCAAGACTTGCACTGTAGTTCGTTCTATGTTAGACATCAACATAAATGTCTTAAAACCATGTTCTACAATTCAGAAGGGCACCGAGGATATTGGACATTAGGATGGGAGTGGAGACTTGAAGTTATCTTGAAACATGATGCTGGTTGTTGAATTGGTCTTTCTTGATATCTATTGTGTTTCCATTTTCATACACAGTTTTTACTTGTGAAAACTATCCCTTGATTTCTTAATCACCCAATGAAGAAGAATGTTTTGTCATTGAAACTGTTAAGCTGAGAATATTTGTGACAAGTCCCAGTAACTGAAAACGGAGAGTTGGAAATGGAATGAGTTTACCATGATATCTACATCTCATTTTCAAAGTGCTTCATTACTTCTGATTCAGTTAAACATTGAAAACAATTGCATAGTTCATTCCAGCCAACAATACTTTGCCTCTAGATCTGTTATAAACCTTTTTATTTCGGTTCTAAGTTTGCTTTCCACGAGAGCCTTAAACTGCAGAAACTTGTAGAAAACTCGTGACTTGTGTAGTCTTGAACACCAACAAATTCTATGTATAAAGAAAACAAGAATATGAAAGATTTCAAGTTGGATCCATCAAATCCTACTGACTAATTTCAGTTCTGCTTTGCACCTTGAAATCTATCAATTGTGATAGTGTGACATACCACATTGGCAACCTTAAATAATCACTCAACCTCCTAAATTAGTTATTTTAGACACCTTTTACTTAATTCTTCTCCACCATAACTTTCAATTTTGGCATGTCAAGATTGTTCATGTCAAATAGATTAGAAGCTGATATGCCAATAAATCTAACCTTGATTTAACTTTTCTCATCTTAATATTTGAAGAATTTTAAAACAATGAATAGTTGTTTGCATTACCATCATTTAATACTGGAAAGGATTCCTTTGTACATAGGGAACATGGGAAACATTCTTATGTGTGCTGATTAGGTCATCTCACTTGCTCTTGATCTTCATACTCCCTCTTGTAGTTCCATTGAATGATTTGTGTTTATAGTTAAAATAATGCCACTATTTCAATAAGGAGAAAGACAAGTATCTTGGTTTTTATTGATTTGTTCGAAAACATATAGGTTTCTTAAACAACTCTAGACTCTAGACTTTATGCAAGACTTAAAATTAATAACAAATAAATGTTAGGTGATATATTGAAAATATTAAAAAAATGCATTTTATTAGTGAAATTAAAAAGCAACTTCGCCACTTACCGTATGAAGTTATCTAAAATCATGAAGCCTGTTAGTTAAGAGGTTTATTAATTTAAATATGGGATATAAAAATGATAATTATGATAATATGTTATTTGTGACAATTTTATGGAAGTATGAATTTTTAAAACTCGTAGGTGGCGATTTTTGAAGAATCAACAATAGTTAAATTCTCTAAATGTAATGAATAGTAGCTTTGAAATATTGACAAGAGCATAGCCTTATAGCGCTGAGTTTTGACAAATTTGCATTAAGAACGTGGCCTTAATGAAAAACCGCTAGCGGCGAGTTTTGACATATTGGCATGTTCAGCCTGGCTATTTGTCAGAAAAAGTAAAGCGTGAATGCTGAATACAAATTTTGCAGAATAAAAAATTGCCAATGGCAATTTTTGAAAGAATCTCTGCCACTGCCAGTTGCATTAGAGTGTAAATGGATTTTTTTCAAAGCGAGAAACTCGTCCCTGGAGAACCAAGATGGCAAAACTCATGCACAAAGAGAGCTCGTACCTATATAATGACCCTTTCAGTCATAAACTCATACGCAAAGAGAACGTAGAAGAGAGAATTAAGGTGGAAGACAAAAGATAGAATCGAAGATGAAGAAAAAGAAGAAGAGTGAAAATAAAAGAAAAAAAGAGTAAAAAAATAAGTAGTTGAAATTTTTTCAAAAATATTGTAGATTAACAAATTTCTTTAATATAGTTCGTGATACAACTATGGATTCGCAGAAGCACATCTCAGAATTAGTACGAGCTCAAAATGTAAGTAATTTTTATGATTTATGTTATTAAAAATATAATTTTCTAATTATGGCTAGTTATTAAATATTAGTATTTAGTGATTAAATATCTAATATGATTAAATAATATTTTAAAATATAATAATTTAAATAATGTATTTAATGATTAATTATTTTTTTATGTCAAGTAATGAAACTATTACGACCTCGTCACTTAGCCATATCACCGCCTAAACCTGAGATATATGACATTTTACAAAATGCTGGACTTTATCGTGTTGCACAAATATGTCAAATGCATATAAATGGTGGGCTTGTAAATGCACTTGTTGAAAGTTGGAGACCAGAAACACATATATTTTATCTTTCTTGTGGAGAATGCACAGTAATATTATAAGATGTTGCTATGTTGCTTGGACTGCAAATCAATGGTCTACCTGTTACTGGTTCTACTAATCCGAATACTATAGCATTGTAGGATATGTGTGAGCAATTACTAGGTAGTCGGCCTGGATTTCATGATGTTGAAGGTTCAGAAATAAGATTAAAGTGGATCACGCGACATTTTGGTTGGCTTCCTACTAATTCTGACCATAGGATAGCACAACATGCTCGTGGATACATACTTTCTTTGTTGGGACATGTTCTAATGTCAAATAAAAGTAATTCAGTAGTCCATGAAAAATTCATACAGTTGTTGGTGAATGTTGATGAAATTGGAATATACAGTTGGGGTTCGGCATGCCTTGCCTTTTTGTATAGAGGTCTAGATCGTGGTTCACGACAAGATGCTAAAGAAATTTATGGATGCCTAATACTGCTACAGGTATGGGCATAGCACCGGCTCCTGTGGTTTGCTCTAATACCTAGTGAACCAATAATATTTCCACTTGCACTTAGATGGTGACACATTCGATATCCAACCAACACTCCATATAGAGACCTTGGAAATGTTAGAGTGTCATTAGATAAAATGGGACTTCGTGAGGTATCAGTTCATATATGTTAACTGTTGTTAAATAATTTTGTACCTCTTTCACATTACTAAGGTATATATAATGTATTTTGTGTTAATGTAGTTTTTATGGCGACCATATGAGGATGAAGCTATTGACACAGTTATTCCAGATGACGTGAGAGGCGAACGTCTATTGTGGTCAACTATAAGTCCATTGATATGCTTTGAGGTTGTAGAGTGGCATGCAGCTGACCGTGTAATGCGTCAATATGGATTTGCTCAGTCTATTCCTCTTCCGCCCCAAAGTCTTGAGGGAGTCCATAACAAAGACTTGCGTGGTTTAAGAGAACCAAAGAATTGGAGATTAATACATGATGATTGGGTGACAATGTGGGAAAATCGACATCAACGTACATTAGAAGGAATGTCAATTGACAACTATAACCCTTCAAATGAGTATTGGAGTTGGTACACAATCTATGCAATTAATTGGTTTTGGTTGTCCCTACAAATGGAGCAGCCACAATCTCAACAATAACAGTGCCTGTTAGAGTAAAATTCCATGTCTCCACTCACGCAGCAACAAGGGATTCCCCCATCCTCTGTTCAACCAAATGAGGAATTTTATTGGTCACCGCATACGAACCAGTGGCATCCGTTTCAATGGGATGAACAACCCCAACCTTCAAGCATGTTTATGGATAGAAGAGATATTCGTCGTGGCTCCAAAAGTAGAGGATCACATGGAAGGAGATTTGTTGATTGTAGCACTGGAAGTGTCATGTCTCATGGGTTTCTATCCACATATGACTTTATCATTGATGATGACACACATTGTCAAGACATTCCTCACATTGGAATTGACCTTAATGAGAACGCAACCGTGGAAGAAGCAGCTATTGATGAAGAAGTTTATCGACCAGAACTAGTTACTCCAAGTGAACAATGCTCCATACCAATCATGTCTTGGGAGATGACACAACAGACATTTACAGGTGCATCTGAAAATGCTTTGGATGTAGAACCTACATCACATGAAGAAGAGACAAGCGAGGCCACAGATGAGCAGGGTGTGGAGGATGATGGACCTAGAGGAGGCAGACAAAGGGGCTTTTTTTCATGCATGTTACGTTCGTTTACTCATGCCCCTGATAGATATATCCCATCACTAATTAAGAAGAAAAAGGGAAAATGAGCATCAATACCAATAATTTAGGCTTATAATTAGTATCTATAGTTTGAATGTATTTTAAATTCCAAGTTTGTTAATCAATGTTATGTTTGTTATCAATGAAATTTCTATCTATATGTATAGTTATTATTTTCACTTTGATTTACTTCCATTTCCATGTTCCTTAATCAATGTTATGTTCTTCATCATTCGTCAAATAAATAGTTAATATTTTTAATGAAGTATTAATAATTTAAAAGTACCTAAATATAAGAATTAATAAAGGAACAACAACATTAATAAGAACATGAACATCAATAATAATAACACTACGAACATGAAGATCAACATTGAGTATATTAACTTTAACAACATCAACACTACCTTTGTAAAAATCAATACTGTGAACTAGACCCAGGAGCATTTGGACATCTCCTTCGACTGTGACTTTCACCTCGGCAAAGACTACACCTTCGTGGTCTTCTCATCTCACGCATGTCCATCTCATTAAGAAAATGTGTTGATTTCAGACGACTTTTAATTGTGCACTTTAAGGTCGGGTTTGGACAAAGTTTTGGACCTCTATATTTTCGCCATGTGTTTTCATTTCCAATCACCCCAAACTCCATTTTGTAAACTTTGCATATCTCATTGATCTTGTAAATATCATCAACATAAGCACGCCAATCAATATTTTGACTAGAGCAAGCAGCAATCACATGACAACATGGATATCGATCAGTTTGTATGTCACCATAGTCACAATACCTTTGCCTCAAATCGACTTTATATTCTTGACTGTTGGATACATCTTGAACGAGAAAAGTCTCATTCCTTCTGTCGAATACAGTCACACAAAGATTTCTAGAGGCCTATTCACATGATTGAACTCGAGTCATGACTGCTTCAGAGAAAATATGTCCAGCCTCTTTCCGTGCATGTGCCTCACGCCCTTTACGTGCAAATAGCTCAGCCAATCGAAAGTATGTTGCTCTAATCAGTGCTGTTACTGGAAGATTGTGAGCACTCTTTAACACTGAATTAATGCACTTAACAAGGTTAGTGGTCATATGACTCCATCGATGCCCACTGTCATATGCAAGAATCCACTTCTCTCGTGGAATTTCATCAAGCCAGTCTGTATAAATCTCTCCACGTTTCCGTAATTGCTCATAATGAATATTAAATTTATGTTCCTTTCTCAAATAACCTGCAAAACACCAACCCATCTATATAACCATTGCTAAATCCAAACAATATTTGCATATAATTTTAAAAGTACTGAAATAATATCAATTACCCATATAGACGACAAGTTTTTGCAAGTAAGATATCTTGAATTTTTGCAAAAAATTGGCAGCAATGTGGCTGATACAATACATATGGAATGCTTTTGGAGATTCCCACTGTCCATTGCTTCGTCTTATTACTGCATTAATTGACTCGTAACGATCAGAAATAATACCAACGTCATCTTACGTCACGACATATTTGCGTAAATTATCAAGAAAAAATTGTCAACCATCTGCAGTTTCTCCCTCAACAATAGCAAAGACAATTGGTAATATATTTTGATTGTCATCTTGTGCAACTGCCACTAATAGAGCTCCTTTGTATTTTCCATATAAATGTGTCCCATCGACCTGCACAAGTGGTTTGCAATGTCTAAATGCTCTAATGCAAAGACCAAAACTCTACGAAATATTTGAACATCAGGAACCTGGTTATCATTATGTTAAGCTTGAACAACATCCAACTGAACAACTGATCCTTGAACAACATCACACATTGCTATACACCATTGCAGTAGGGCTTCATATGAGGCTTCCCACTGACCAAATACATTTTCAATTGCTTTGTGCTTTGTCATCCATGCTTTTAGATATGTTGTTGAGTATCCATATCGAGCTTGAACTTTACTAATCACTAATTTTATCTTAAAAAAAGAGTCAGATTCAATCATTGGCTTAATACATTCTGCAATTGTCTCTACATCTAACTTTCTATGATCTTGTGAAATCCTTGCACAAGTACAACTATGTGGCCCATTATACTTTCTAATTTCTCAAAAATACTTGTTCTTCCTCAAACTAGCTCGAACAAGCCACTCACAATCTCTGTCATAACTGACACATTTACAATAAAACGTATTTGATTCAGACTCGAAAACTTTACAGTCTACTCCTTTTAATATACTATAACTCTTAATTTTTCGTACAACTTCTCTGTCATTGAATTGCATTCCAAAATACAATTCTCCGTCTATGTCACAATGACCTATAAAACACAAAAAAAAAAAAAAAAAAAAACTAACTAACTAAATATCATTCACACAACTAAAGATAAATTTATTACTACAAATATAATAAAACATGTCAACATACCTAAGTTAGCATACTCTGAAAATTTAGGAACTTGCATAGCATTAAGATCTAAAGCACGCATGAATGATGGAACCCCAGACATATGTTGGTCATTCACTGAGTTTGATAAATGAGAGTCCTCATCATCTGCATCGTCATCCAAACTATCATCATCACTATCCTCACTACTTTCATAATCTCCTTCAAAGTCGTCATCGTTGCTTTCGACAATGTTTTGTTCCCATTCAACATCTTTGTTAGGAACAACACTAGCATATGCAGCAATTGTAATTTGTTTAAAGATAACATATAACTCAATTGAAGGATTTTGGTCATGACGCTCGTAATAAATCTGAAACATTTGTTGAATATCATCATCATTGCTTATTGTCATCACTTGGTATTGCATGAAACCTCCAAAAATAGAGATTGGACACCTGTAAATTACTTTCTACTGTTTTTGGAGTCTCTACTTTAATATATTGATAAAGCCAATATTTAAGTGCTTCAAATGATATATTGTAAGGAATATAAATGTAAGTTAGCTTCTCACACGTAAATCTCACACCTTCACTCGTATTTGAAATAATCTCACCATTAAAGTAAACTATTGTATTTGCACTCATTTCAACTATAAAATATAAGGAAGAAGAATTCAGAAATATAGAATAAAAGATTTTCAAGATGCAATTCACTAAAAATACAAATAAATTATATATAGACAAATTTTTTGAAAACTCGCCAATGATAATTTTTTTTTTAAGATCGCAAATGGCAATTTTTGAATATATAAAAGCACTTTTCTGCTTTAAAATCGCCAATAGTAAAGTGTTTTTTACGTTAAACAAATTTTCATTCTTTAAAAATCACCGCATGCGATTTTTCAAATCCCATATACATGTAATATTCATTACAAGTCCATATTCAGGAACTTTCGTGATAAAAATGCCATAAACAAAAAAATGACCCTAGTTAAGAAGTCGTTTTCGGTATATATCTTACCATTTCTGACTTTTTAAAACCATCTCTGGATTTCGGATTCACTCGGTGAAGAACGAAGATACTGACGTTTTGTCAACAAAATGTCTCAAATCGTAACTACGCCAGCATAGTAGTCTCAATTTCCATTAAATGGAAATGGTGAGTTAAAATACGAACGTGCTTATAATGATTGCCTACACGAGTTCAAGATTCTGTTGAACCTGCTGCTATACATTAATCAATTGCTCAAAAAGGAAAAGAAACAGCTTGAATATGTAACCTGATATCTTCATCTCATTTTCAAGATGCTTCATTACATTAACTCTTGACTTCTTTAATAGATTCTATTTAGATGTCTAAGAACAGAAACATTACTTAACTTCATCTTCAGTCTCACTACTGCAAAAAGCGAAGGTACAAGCAACAGGTATAGGTGCCACTGGATAATATTAGTTAATAAAAGGAAACTACAAAGTCGTTCTACCAAAACTACTACAAACTAAGATTCTCACCACAGGTCTAATGCAGCAACTACGACAACATCATACTATATTGTACAAAAACAAAGCACCAAGGAATAAATATAATTGGCTTAGCCAATCAGTACCTCGTTCTACCATCACCCTCAGTTATGACATCCTTGAAACATCCATTACTTGGAATCATTGGCAAGACATGCTCCTGATGGGGTACAATGACGTCAAGAAGGTAAGGGCCGGGGGTGTCCAACATTTTCTGTATTGCTGCTCTTAAGTCTCCTTTGTGGGTCACACGTTCAGCAGGTATCCCACAAGCATCAGCAAACTTAAGCATGTTTGGGAATATCTCTGTCTCCCTAGAAGGGTCTCCCAGATAAGTGTGAGCTCTATTGGACTTATAGAACCGATCCTCCCACTGAACCACCATACCCAAATGCTGATTATTCAGCAACAATATCTTTACAGGGAGATTCTCCACTCTAATAGTTGCCAACTCCTGAACATTCATAATGAAACTACCATCTCCGTCAATATCAACCACAATTGCATCAGGGTTAGCAACAGCAGCACCAATAGCAGCAGGCAATCCAAACCCCATAGCACCAAGACCCCCTGATGTTAACCACTGCCTAGGCCTCTTGTACTTGTAAAACTGTGCAGCCCACATTTGATGCTGTCCAACACCAGTACTAATAATAGCATCTCCATTTGTCAACTCATCAAGAACCTCAATTGCATACTGAGGACAAATAACACCATCCTCAAACGTCTTATAACTCAATGGAAACTTTCGTTTCTGCACACTAATCTCCTCTCTCCAAGCTTCAAGGTCAAGCTTACCCTTCACACCCTTACTCTCCAAAATCCTATTGATACCCTCCAAAGCCATTTTCAAATCCGCACAAACCGACACGTGTGGCAGCTTATTCTTCCCAATCTCAGCAGAATCAATATCAATGTGAACAATCTTAGCCCTGCTGGCAAAAGCCTCTAGTTTCCCAGTGACGCGGTCATCAAACCTTACCCCAAAGGCAAGCAACAAATCACTGTTATCAACAGCATAGTTAGCAAAGACAGTGCCATGCATACCCAACATTTGAAGGGAATGTTCATCTCCAATAGGGTAAACCCCAAGACCCATCAACGTACTCGCAACAGGGATCCCAGTGAGTTCCACAAACCTCCTCAACTCAACGCTCGAGTTCAAACAACCACCCCCAACGTACAAAACCGGTTTCTTGGCCTCCATTATTAACCTCAGAATCTGATCCAATTGGGCCTCGCTGGGAACCTTGGGCAGCCTGGAAATATAGCCGGTGAGCTTAATGGGCTGGTCCCAGTTAGGAACAGCAAGCTGTTGTTGGATGTCTTTGGGGACGTCGATGAGAACTGGGCCGGGCCGTCCAGAAGTGGCCACGAAGAAGGCCTCGCTAACGACCTTAGGGATGTCATCCACGTCCAGAACGAGATAGTTATGTTTGGTGATGGATCTGGTAACTTCCACGATTGGGGTCTCTTGGAACGCGTCGGTGCCGATCATTCTCCGGGGAACTTGGCCGGTGATGGCGACGAGTGGGATGCTGTCCATCATGGCGTCGGCGAGGCCGCTAACGAGGTTGGTGGCACCGGGCCCGGAGGTTGCGATGCACACACCGGGAAGCCCGGTGGAGCGCGCGTAGCCCTCGGCGGCGAAGGCACCGCCCTGCTCGTGCCGAGGGAGGACGTTCCGGATGCTGTGGGAGCGCGTGAGAGCTTGGTGGATCTCCATCGACGCGCCGCCGGGGTACGCGAACACCGTCGTGACGCCCTGCCGCTCCAGCGCCTCCACGAGGATATCGGAGCCCTTGCGGGGCTCGGTGGCGGAAAAGCGCGAGACAAAGGGCTCGGCGGGGGGGGCGGCGGTGGAGGTGGTGGCGGATGCGGCGGGGGGTTTGGAGAGGGAGCATGAGATTCCGAGAGGGTGTGTGGGGTTGGGTTTGTTGAAGGTTGGAGAGAGTGGGAGAGTGAATCTGACATTGCGTTTTGGGAAGTTGGGGTATGAAGAGGAAGAAGAGAATGGGGTTCTCGAAGCGGTGGCCGCCATTGCTGAATGCAGAGATTGCTGTGTGTGGGAACTGTGTATGGTTGGAGAAGGAAAGAGGGAGATTTCGTTTTGTTGGTGCTTGTTTTACCTTTTTGGCCTTGGGTGTGTTTGTTTTTGTAGTTCTTGTGGGGGGTATAATAGTAAGGGGAAAATGAAAGAAAGCTGGTGGTGGTGGTGGTGGTGTAGTATGTGGTGTGTCTGGCATGTGAATGAGATGTAAGTGAAGTGGCTGCTTTGTTCCAAATGATAGTCACATTTGTGGCTTTGTTTCTTTCTGCGGCCCACCAACCCTACCACTGGACTCTTGCAATTATCATTTTTATATGTTTACAGTAATCCAGAAAACGTTTAGCCCCCCCCATCGGAAAACGTTTTCTTTTTCCACCAAATAAAAATAAACGTTTTGTTATTTTTTAGTAATTTTCACATGCTACTCTTTTTTTAATAATAGTGTTTACCTTAAGCATCTTATATTCTTATTAAATTCATTATTATAATTCTTTTAATATTTTAAAAATTAAAAAATATTTACACTATTTTTAAGATAACTATTAGCTTCACTATTTAACTCTAACATCACATGTAAATAGTATAGAATGTCCTTTTAATCTTTGAAGCATTATTAAAGTTACATTTGATAATAACTAGATTAGAGATTTCTCAAATTTATAAAATTTTTAAAAGCTTAAAAAATTAAATCATAAATTTAATCTTTTTTATTTGTCTTTACGTAAAAATTATTATACTTTTGTTTATAAATAAATAAATAAATATTTTTAAATTAATTCTTATAATTTAATATACATTAACAATATTAGATAAAAGACCAAGATGTAAGCATTATTCTCAATTTCATTTTCTTTGGTACTAAAATTAAAAGTAAGCATTATTCTTCAATTTAAATCACTTCAAATGACTAAAATGTTATATTTTCTCTCTTTTTTTAGTTAAAACTTCATTCTACATATGGACAATTATTTTTAAAAAATTAATTTCAAATTAATAATTTAATCATTTATTTAAATGTATGTTTGAAACATTTTGATTTAGCATCATGTAGAGTTATCGAATTAAGTTTTGAAAACTTTCCTTCCTATCTCAAATTTGTCCTAATGTCCATAAAGGTACGAATTGGAAGTTTATTATTAATTATATTCTTATCTAGAGTGATTTGTCTATGAATACTGAGTTTAGAATATAAATAAATAAAAATTTTAGAAATTGAAGTGTAAACTTTTAGTCTAATTTATTGAATTTGTAAATACAAGAAGATGTGAATAATTTAATTAGGTTGTATGCTCAAAAAGTGGTAGAAAAGAAAATATGAATTAGAGGATCGTTAATTTAACTATAAAAGAAAATAAATTTTCTATACAAAAGTAATGGAAGATAAATTTAAATTAAAAAATGTAGCAGAACTATACTAGAGAGAGTCTTTATACTCTATTTAATATTTAAAATTTTATTGTAAATATAATTAAATTGTACTTTTAGGATATATATATATATATATATATATATATACATATATAAAATACTATTTAGTTGATTGATTTATATTTGCATACAAAATGAAGTATTGATATATCTTGATCGTAATTGAGTGCTAATTTGAATGACTATATAATATAATATAATATAATATGACATACTATATATATTTAAAGGAAATAAATATTTAATTTTACAAATTTACTTAAAAGAATACTATAATTTAATATTTTTGGAAAAAAAACTGATTTAATATGTAATTACATTTCAATTTAAATGGGTATGCTTCTGAACTTCAAATTTTATTTATTTTATTATTATTATTATAAGTTTAGAAATTAATGCAGTATTATAGTTTCAAATATTTCTCATCTATAGTAGTCCTATTCAATTTAAGCATGGTTGTTTCTAGTGTAAGATACATGTTATTTAGATAATATAATTTTTAAGTTTATGTATATGGAACAGAATTGTTAGATATAAGTTAAATAAAAGGCTCAGATCGAATATAAGAGTTTTTAGACTTATATTAGTATAAGAAAATTATGTGTATGTGTGTGCGGGCACGCTAATTTTCTAAAAGAAATTATAAAAATTAAAATATATTAAGGTATATTTAATTTCTCTTTTAAAAAGAGTTTTCTATTTTTTTCTAAATATAGTATAAATTTATATTATATTTAAAAAAAACTCTTTTTAAAAGAAAAATCAAACATACTCTAAGTATTTAGCTTTCAATCGAAAAATATTTTAGCAACAAATTAGAAGTGTTTTAAGAATTTTTGTTGAAATTAGAAGTGTTTTAAGAATTTCCTAATTTTGCAGGGTGAAAAAAAATTAGAAATATTAAGTTTAGATGTTATTTTTCATTAGATTGTCACAACAAAACCAACCATGCTAAACTATTCAAGTTTGGGCTACTTTGAAAAAGCTAAAATGTATATGTGTAAATCTCCATGGAAGTGGGATAGAGTCCAAGATTGCTAATTTGCCAAAGGTGGTGTGACTTTTATCATGTACCGTGCTCAAACTTTTTTATCTTAAACTTTTAAAGATTATAACATTTTTTAATTCTAATTTATAAAAATTATATATTTATTTCATATATGTTTTTTAGATCTATTCATTAAACTCATTTAAATATATATAATACAAATCATCTAGGGATGGTGTGAGATCTATGTTAATATAAACAAGATATTTTAAAACGACTTCCAAGATCAGTTAATTTTTTATTAATAAGAAATGTTAATTTATATGAGGTTATCACCTTTAATAACCTACTAGTTTATAATTGAACAAAATACACATTAATTGAATAGATTTTAAAAAGTTATATAAAATAAACATATAATTTGCATGAATCAAAGTTTTGTGTAAAAGTTATGTTCTTTTAAAGTTTAACACTACAAAAGTTACAAAAATTCAACATGTGTTAACATAAATTGTAAACTTATGTTATATTTAGTGATTAGTATGGTTGTGCTCATTATAAACATAGTCGTGCTAGTCTATAATTCTCACAAGGGGTGTATGATTTATATGCAAATTACATGTTGCCTTACCCTAATGCAAATTACATGTTGCCTACATTTGAGCACACGAGTGCTCAATTGCAAATCACCTAGGCCCTATGCAACTTATGTACAAGTTATAATTTGTTCCACCCTAGTATAATTTTATGTATTAAGTACGATTAGGACATATTTCAATTTTTATTTGAAAATTAAGACTTTTTAAATACATTCTTTTTTATTTTAAATAAAAAGCCTATTTTATCGATTAAAAAGAACGATAGAACCATAAAATTATGTATGAATTATCATCAATTGAATAAGGCAACCATTAAAAACAAGTATCCATTTTCAAAAATAGATAATATAATTGATTAGTTGCAAGGATCGAGCATCTCTATTCTAAAAAATAGTGAGGATTCAGAAATTAGAATTAGAATTTATTTTGAAGAGTCTTAAGTTTGGGATGTCAAAAATTACTAATCACTTTTTAGAACAAAATCCAATGACTCAATAAAGAGATAAATTTATACAAAATACGAAAACATTAATGACTTAGGGAAAAGAAAAAGATTTTCAAGAAAGCACTTATGAGATTTTAATATTTTAAAGTACAATATGTATTTCACAAAATGAAGAACTTATTAAGGTGATTTTGGAAGAAACTCACAAAAGTAATTAAATTAATTATTCATTTAGACACTCAAAAAATGTATCAAGATTTGATGAATATTTAGTGCCTTGTTTGATGTTTCAAAAGGCAAAGGTTAAGCATCAATGACTCTTTGGAATGCTGCAATCTTTAGTTGTTATAGAATAGAATTGGATAGTATTGCTATGAATTTTGTAACTAGATTATCAAGAACACCTACAAGTTATAATATAATATAGGTAATATTTAATAGATTGGCTAAATCTTCTTATTTCTTACCCATTAATCTTTACTATTCATGGGAGAAGTTAACTCAATTGTATATAAAAAAATGACAAAGTTATATGGTGTGTCTTTAAGCATTGTATCTAACAGAGACCCTTGATTCACTTCTAGATTTTGGAGAAGTTTACAACAAACCTTGAAAAAAAAGCTTAGATTTAGTTCAATATATCATCCACAAATTAACAAATAATTGGAAAGAATAATTGAAGGATATTTTGAGAGCCTATGAGTTGAAATACAAAAGCAATTAGAATCAATTTTTGTATATGATTGAGTTCATATATATAAAAAATTTTCATTCAAGTATCAATAAGACACTGTTTGAAGCTCTGGATAAAAGAAAATGTAATTCTCTTATGTTGGTATGAAACAAAAAAAATTTAATTTTAGGACAAAAATGGTTAATGATAGACTACAGAAAAAGTTAAAATGATTCAAGAAAAAATGAAAGTAACACATAGTCACATACTACATGGAAAAACTATTATGATAGAAGAATGTTATTAGAATTTCAAGAATGAAATAATGTATTTTTTTAGAGTTACACCTAACACGAGTTGCTAGAGTCATAAAATCTCCAAATCTCGCACCTGAATTCATTAGTTCTTACTAAATTTTTTTTAAAAAAATTATCCTTTTAGCCTATCAAGTTACCTTACTCTTATTTTTTTTTCTAATTTTTGTCTTTCAAATCTTACAATTTAGAAAGTATATTCTTATTTCATCTTATATTATTGAACCTAAAATAATATAACAGAAGGATAATCTGATTTATGAAGTAGTATCTATCTATATTGTTGATCAATGAATTAAACAACTATTTAATAAAAATATTTCTTTAGTTAAAATAAAGTGGAGTAAAACTCAAGATAAAAATGCTACATGGAAGTTAGAGAGAAAAATAAAGAAATATTACCTCCAGTCTTTTCTCATAAGGTGGACAAATTTTCTTTAAAAAAAATGTTATAATGTCATATAAATAAATAGTAAAATGAATAATAAATTATTAATGAAAGAATCAAACGAAAATAATTTTTGAGAAATTAAATTAAAAATAATTATGAATTTTAAAAGGATCAAAATCTTATTTAAAAAATTAAATAAACAAATTTACTTCAATATTTAACAAATCGAATTTGAGTGGTTTAAGAGTAGTTGGACTTAGATACCTTTGTTCTAAATGTATTTGAATTTATGTGTTTCCTGTCACCTCCCATTAACATTTTCCCAACACATCTACAAGAACAAAAAGGGGTTACTTTTTGTCGATTTGACTTCCACCAACGACATTAAGTTCCAAATCATGCTTAAAATCGTGATTTGTGAAGGACAGGTTGAAATCAA